TGTGTCTGCATAAAAAAGTGAAAGACAGCATCCAAAATCACCATGGCGACAGCATCCAAAATCACCATGGCAACAGCAGGCATGCCTGTTTAATCCGTCTTCCCTCTCCGATCGGGAAAGAAACGTTGGCAGGAAATATCTGCCGACGTTCCAGCTGACAGAGAATATTTGTTTACCTTCAGAACATCCGACAGAACACAGGAGCTACTAGTCTATCGCTGCCTTAATGTTTCATGTGTGTTACCTTGTGCTACACAAGGATTTAAGGACAAACACACCGGTCATAAAACAACACAAACAAGCTGAACAGTGATGCAGCGATAGACTAGAAACTTCATATTCTGCAGGTTGTAATTACTGTCTTTGTCAATAATGGAGTCTGGTGGATCTGAAGAGCGATGCAACAGCTGCTTTTGGTTTGAAGAAAATATTTAACTCCTTTATAAGAAGGTGTAACTCTGCAAGGAGCCTTTTTAATATACTGAAACACTACATGCACCTGTCATAGACAAAAAAGGCGCTATAGGTGGATGTACTTTAATCAGGCGCATTCACTCTAAAGGATTACTCTGCAGCCGTTACAGCCTGTTTCATGTCTGCAGGCTGCAACAAACTTCTCAAGCAACTCCAAAACTTCCTGCACATTTTAGTGAATTGGACTCAAAGTATGCAGAAATAGAGTCCAGGTTTAGAAATACCAGGAGTTCTCTTAATACAGAGACATGTGACAGAGGGAAACAAAATGTTCAGGCCTGAGAGAAGCAAGAAACAAAAGGTCAATAAAAGGGAGCTGAAGGTTTCATCCGATCCCTGCAGACATGAATGGATACAGTGTCAGTGTGAAGCCGTCTGCTGTAGTGATCTTGAGACGATGATGACTCTACAGGCTGTGGTTTCTTTAAAACCTCTCAGCAGGATCTCTGCACACACAGCGGACGCCTTTCCTCACATTTCACGGCTGGGATTCATTTTTATAATCTGATCAGGTCGAGCTATGTGGGGCCGTTTTATCAAACAATGTCCTTATTAAAAGGAGTGAGGAGACAGAGTGTGTCCTGTGTGTGTGTGTGTGTGTGTTGTTGCAGAGGGGTGACAGACTGCCTCTCCCGCCTGGACAGCAGCTCCAGCGGTTGTTTGTTTAGGGGAGCAGACGGAGCAGGGGGCCGTGAACCTCGTGCCCCTGCAGCCCGAGCGGGAATGAGAGCTCCTTTTGTGTCGTCGGCGCGGGTCAGAGGCTAACAACACTCGCTCGTTTACTGCGCCCGCTTCTTCCTGCTCGCTCTCATGGGAGGTTTGGAGCCTGTATCCCAACATGCAGCGGGGCAAGAGGCACAGAAACACGCTGTCTAAGAGCAGGGTCATGTTTACAACGTTAGCAGGAAGCGTCCACTTGAAGAGTCGACCTCTAAAACAGCTGCTCTGGTTGTCCTCCTTGTCTCCGCTGCTCGTTTTCTAAAGATGATATTTAGCCTCTTTGAGTAAACTTAGAGTTATCTCTTACGTAGGACCTCCATTCATAAGTCCTGCTGTCAGGGTCTAAAGGCAATAGGGGGCATGTTTGGACTACTGTGCAGACTCCTAGAGGTGTGAGTGTGTGACTTCATAAATGATTCCTGGTACTCTCTCTGGGAAACGCTGTATTTGCTTTCTTGTATTAAACTCCAGACGACACCATCTGGTCGTAAACCTTAGCCAAACATCGAGCTATAAACGCCTTGACTTCTGAGAGTCGAGGCCAGAGAACGTGTTTAATCTCCGGGTCTGCTTTGGCTGCTGAAGGCTAATGTTAGCATTGGGTTTAGCTTTGCCATCTCAATGGGTGATATCCTCCAATCTGTCGTATTTGATCGCTTTTTTCTGCAAAGTGTGGAGACGGGCAGACTTTTAGAAAGTTTCTCTTCCTTCATATTAAGTCTTAATTCCCTATTGTTAAAAGGTTTATTGTTGTGCTTTTGATGCCTTTATTTAGAGACAGGACAGTGGATAGAGTCAGTCATCAGGGGGAGAGAGAGAGAGAGAGAGAGAGAGAGAGAGAGAGAGAGAGAGAGAGAGAGAGAGAGAGAGAGAGAGAGAGAGAGAGAGGTGGACGACATGTGAGAAAAGAGCAACAGGACAGACCAGAACCCAGGACGCTCATCCAGATGAACACAGTCTCTGCAGGGCTCTGAGCCAGCTGGCAGCTACCAAACCCAATTCCATACTTTGGTCCGACCGGGACTTGAACTGCATGGCGACTGAGCTACTACCGCCTCATTACACGTTCAACATCTGTCTAAAAAGTCAAATCCTGAATGAACGTAAAGAAGGATTTGAGGTCGGTAATAGACGGTGTGTTGATTCAAACCTTATCTGTGCAAAAACCAAAGTGCCCGTTTCCTGTCTGAAGGGTTTTTCCCGTCACTCTTGACGGTTCTGGCAGACTTCTTAAACTGTCGGTTTGTGAATCTATTTTTACTATCTTGATTTCATTCTGTGTCATTTCTGTGATACCACCCGACTTTAAGAGTCTGGAGCTGGAGTTTTCCTCCCACGGAGCTGAAGCTGTAAGATGATGGCGTCCAGTGGCGATCCTAGAGTCTGTTGGGGTCCTAAGCAATAATTCATTGGGGCCCCTCCAACCATCACCATGATGTCTGCCAGTGTCCTGACGCTTTCTGCATGCAGCGCCTCGGCACGGCAGAGTCAGTGCTGTCAGATTGAGCCCCCTTAGGGAGGTTTCCTACTGTCATTGTAAAATCTACACATTTTGAGCCGCTGCTGTGGGGGCCCCCTATGGTCTGGGGGCCCCAAACAGTTACCCGCCTTGCCTATTTGACAGGCAGCACCTCTGGTTACGTCATCGTTTTACACAGAGGCGCTGTTTGTCAACAGGCAGGGCAGGTAACTGCTTAGAGCTCCAGACCAGCAGGGGGCCCCTGAGAGCTGACAAACTTTAAATCAAAACAGTGGCCCACAATGTGCAAATTTTGCACTGACAGTAGAAAACCTCCCTAACGGGGCCCCATCTGACAGTTCTCACTTCCCTTGCCCTGCTAAGCGTTGCGTGAGTTATTACGGTGAAAAGCAAAGTGTGTCAATGAAAGTCAAACAAGAAAAATGAAGAGGAATGATCCGTCAAGAGGAGAGAAAAAATAACAAAGAGGAGGAAGCGTTGGGACAGTGGCAGACATGAGAGGAACACGGGTTTGAGGGACCCCCAACAGGGCCCCAACAGACTCTGAAATCCTCACTGGTTTTACATCAGTCAAATGCAAGTCCTCTCAAAAATATAGGTGGAAATAACTTCAGGAATTCAGAGTTTAAGAAAGAGTCGTTATGAGGTGATGAAACTTTATTCATTGGATCTTTTTCAGGAGTTAAAGTCATCCAGGATAAGGGAGTGAAGACGAAGTCAAGGAGGGAAAACAAGAACCCAAACAAGTCCCTTCTGGGAATCCTGCCTGACGCTGTGAAAACATTCATGTGTGAGCTTTAAACAAACTCTGGGAGATGAACCATGATTGTTTTCATTGGTGAACATGTGACACTTCACATTCACACCGTGTCACTTTCTCCCGCGCAAAAGTTTGTCCTTGCAGAGGATGTTACATTTCCCCATGGGCGCCAAAATCACGTTAAAACAGGTGAACAAGGACTGAACTTTGCCGTATGTAAATTAACACTGTCGCAACTTAAATAAAAAATAGGATAAAGATGCATAAGTGTGTCACAAAGTAAAAGAACTTGAAGTGCTGTTGGATATGGGTCATGATGACAACATTATTAAATCATATCTTCACATATCTTGTATATAGGAAAAATAAAGGCCTGCAGTTCATATGCATTTCCTTTAATTCCTCAGTTATATTTAAGGAATTGATTAATCTATAAATCCTCACTAGAAGAATAGAAATGTTCAGACAGATTCTTCAAAATGTGTGGTACAGGAGGGTTAATTTACTGCACGATAAACTGAATGTCTGGAGGTCAAATCAAAGGTGACATGAGAAACTTGAACTCACCGTTGGCGTTTTTGCCACATATCAGATGCTCGTAGACCTGCAGCAGCCCCCACAGCTCTGCGTCGTTGTTGACGGCTCCCTCCAGCAGCTCCGCGGTCACCGGGCAGCAGGTGCTCTCCTCCTCCTCCTCCTCCTCCTCCTCCTCTTCGGTCAGCCTCGCAGCTTTCAGCGCCCGTCCGACCACCTCCTCCATCAAACTCTCCATGCAGGCTGTGAGGCACACGGCGGCGTCCTCATGCACGCGAACCGAGACGCGTGTTTCCACCATCCACCTGAAGACGCGGCCCACGGAGAGCGTGAGCCCGCAGCGCGCGGACTTGCTCCTCTGACGCGCGGTGTCCCCGGAGCTCATGCAGTGCAGGGACACAGCCTTCACCGCGGAGGAGACGCACTTCTCGGCCAGACTCCAGCTCAGCACCAGCCTCGCCGCGCTCTGCACCTCCAGGCGTGTGCACCGCCTGTGGCGCTCACTGAGCCGCTGCGCCTCCCGGGAGACGCGCACCAAAGCCCTCCGGAGCAGAGCGGAGAAGCGGTGGACAGCCTCACCGGTAAAAGACGACGAGGAGCCGGCGACTCGAAGCATGATTCCCCGCAGCTCCCTCTCGGTCCAGGGACACTCCTCTAGCTCGGGCAGGCAGGGACACTTGGCTAGGATGTCCACCGCGTCCTCCGGCAGTGAGCTCACCGTGTCCCAGCTGCCGGCGTGCTGCCACCAGGTACCCCGATGAGGAGTGCTCGTGTTCGGCTGAGACTGCCTTGATCTACCGGAGGAGGACACGCTGAGGTCCCCAGCAGCATAGCCCGAATCCAGGCTGAGGTCCTCCAGGGTTTTGACCAACATATTGCTGGACATGATGTAAAGTTTGAAACGCACTTATCACTTTAGGCAAAGTGTTAAACTGACCAAAAGTTTCCCATTAAATCAAACTTTCAGTTAAAGTCTGAAGACTGCAGAGAGCTGATGACTGTCACGCTGTGCCACAACTCAACAAAACATGAATGGGGATGTAAAGTGTTTTTTTTTTCTTCTGCACCATGAACCAATCACAACCAGAGTCCAGTCATAACACAGGTAAGGATATTACTCCCCTACAGCGCCACCCTGTGGCCACAATACAGACAATGATTCACATGCAGAGCTACAGAGGGGAGGAGAATTCATCTGAGTAAAACCAAAGTCAGTGAGTTTACAGTCAGCTCTTTCAAATCTCTTTACTATTATAGACTTTCTTTATGTGATGTCGTCTTCTACTTTTAACTTGTTTTATGTCTTACTACCTCAACACCCGCCTCACCCTCACAGCACCCAGCAGTGTGTGACCCCAGCCATCCGTCACACAGACTCTACTGCCTCCTCCTTTCTGAGGGACGGTACCGGAGCCTCGGAGCCTCGGAGCCTCGGAGCTTCTGAGCGTGAGCCCCCAGACTCATGAACAGCTCCATCCACCAAGCTGCCAGGGAGCTGAACTCTCTCCTCTCTGCCCCCCACAACTGTGGACTTTAAACCTCCACCATGCACCCATCATGAAGCAGAACTCTCTTTCTCTCTCTGCCCCCCCCGCGTTCCCCCTTAACAGGAAAATCAACTAAAATCTGATTTATTTTCAATTCCAAGTCCATGCACTTTTGTTGTTGCTGATGTTTTTCAATGATCTTTTTTTTTTATCTGTTTTTTATCCATTATATATATATTTTTGTTGTTGTTGTATTTTATATGTTTTCATATTTGTAGTTTGCACCGTGGTTTGGAGAGAAAATATTTTTGGATTTTTCTGTATGTCAGTGTGAGACATCCACTGCCTTGGTTTCTAACCAGGTTATTACTAATCGGTTCTGTCTCCCTGTTCAAAGAGGATTTGGCTGATCCACTTTGGAGCACCTGGGCCTGTTGCTCTCAGGGTATGAGAGCCCGACCCCCGGGTGGCTCTCTCTCTCTCTCTCGCGCCATGGACTCACATCGCTCAACAATTGCATGTTTTGGACACTGTTACACTTCATTTATTCCACACATCCACATTCACACTACTCTCCGTACTGACGGACACACTCCATGTTCAGTCAAATAAATCATCATTATCTGACGTTAACTGATGTCCTCTCATATTCGTCGTGGCCTTTGAGCAAGGTTATGACACCATGCGTATGACAACAAAGATGACTTTAGTTGCATTTCTTTATTTCACTGACTTTATCTCGTTTTATCACTTTGACCTTTTTATTTCTGTTCCTGTGTTTTATTTGCTCTTCTGTCACATCATCTGGTCCACCTGGTCTCTTTTCATGCTGTTGGATTCTTACAGTCTGAGGGACAGTAGCTCAGTCTGTAGGGACATGGGTTGAGAAGCGGAGGGTTTCCGGTTCAAGTCCCAGTGCAGACCAAACTGAGGAAGTTGCTCTGGTTGCTGGAGAGGTGCCCTTGAGCAAGGCACAATCTGAACCCCTGGTAACCTGTCCATTAATGTAGATATCTCCTGTGTGTGTGTGTGTGTGTGTGAGAGAGAACTGTACATAAAAACAGGAACAAACTCGTCTCCCCTGTTTGTCTCGATCCTTCTTCCTGCATTTTCCCCTTTCCCATTTTTCAAACCCAGTGAAGTTTCATTAGATGGTGGTTCATCATGAGTCTCGTTTCTGCCTCTTAAAGGAAGTTTTTCCTCTCCACTGTAACTTGTTGCTCAGTGCTCATGATGATTAACGTCTGGTTTTCGTAATCTAGCAGTGAGTAAGGTCTTTTACCTGCTGTTTGTAAAGTGTCTCCAGATGTAAATGATGCTTCAATCAGACGCTCTAAAGAAACGCACACACAGACGTTAAAAGTTGTATTGTGTCAGCTCAAGGATTTCACAACTTCAAACAAAAGGTTCTTTAAGATTTCAGTATACAACAAATCTGTTCCAACACTTTGACTCCACACTCCGACCTGAAGCGCCAAACGACTTCACCAGATACTCCGAGTTCACGTCGACTTCGGGCAGGTCGGTTGAACTGTGGATGCTTTGATACACGGATGAAGCAGTCTGAGCAAAGAATTACAGTCAGATATAGTCACATGTTTTAAAGGCGTCACAGAGCAAGACTTTAATTTGTTGTCGTCTTAAATGTCACTTCAACCCTTTCTACATTTCTACTCCTAGATCTAGAGACATGCATCGCCTAAAGCGACCACAAGATGTCAGCGTTTCACTATTTCTAAGCACCGAGCAGCAGAGATGGTTTTCCATGCCTGGTCCTAACTCCTCTAACCTAACTGCTTCTACAACACTGTACATCTTTAAGAACGAGGTAAATAAAGTCTGACACATCTAAATCTAGATCCTCTGTTTGTAAGACTAAAAACAAATGTTCAGCGTTAAAGGAGCTCGTTGGAAATGCAGCAGATGTTCCAGTTGGAAAAGATGACGAGCCCAGGAGCGGTTAGAGGATAACACAATAAATAATCGAGCAAGAAAAAAAAAACACCTCTTTAAAAATGAGCTTCAAAGTGTACAATCATAACAGTGAGCCAGCTCACCGAGTCAGATGATTTCTGTTCAGTACAACAACACCTGACAGTCTGTTTTTGTTACATGACCTCACTCCCTCTGCGTCTGAGCAGGGTTCAACATCAACACTGTCCGAGTAAGGCATCGAGACATTTGATACAAAAATTAAAAAGTGTAACCCTGCAAGCCAACATTTTACAAAGGCTAACCCGAGCGACATTTGTTCTCTAGCAAAACGTTACAAAACTACAAAATGCTTTATTGTTGTTGTAAAGGGTGGACGCCTCCGAGACTCCTGAATAATAAAACTCTTTCTGGTTAGTACAGACAGGAAACAGAGTCGCTGTGATGTCATTCTGCGAGGTATCTCTCTGCAGCGTCGTCTCTTAGTGTCCCGTCCAACATCCCTCCAATCCAGGGAAATAACAACAATTTATCAAACTGGAATTCAACATGCTTGGTGCAAAAACGAGTGAAAGAAGCATCTCTGTGAAGACTCAGTCATGATATCTTTTAGAGCCCGACCGATTTATCAGCCGGCCGATATTAGCATATCAAGTGACTATCAGTATCGGCTATTTTATCACAGATATGCGCTGATATTACAATATTTATTCACCTGTCAAATAGCATTTCATTGGGGTTTCTTTTTTATTACACTAGCAGCTCTCTTTCTGGCTGCCACCAGCAGAGGGCTCTATATGGATTACAACAAGCATCACTTACATGCTCAGTTACATCTCGTCTACGTTAAACTGTTTGTCTTTTCCATGACTGTTTGATGACTGCATTTGAGGGATCATATGTGTAAATCTATCTCTACAGATAGAAACATAGAGCTAAGAAAGATACCAGCCGATATATCGGTATTTGATCTTTTTTTTTCTAATATCGGTTTCGGCCCTGACAATCTCATATCGGTCGGACCCTGATATCTTTAGTGGATAGTCATATTTGTCATCTCTCTGCAGTTGAACCTTTGAATTTATCTGGTTTGCATTGAAGGAGAATTTCCATGCTAAAGGAGTGAGCGAGTTTCTGAGGAGCCAAATTAAAGAGACAGCATCTGAAATGAAGCGTTTCAGGAAAAGGCTGAAATGAGGGATTTTACTGACGCCAGTATCAGATTAATAAGGAGGTTTCTGAGCTCCACATCTCACAATGTCCCGTCCCACGCTGACGTCATTAATGCTGAAAGAGAGGATTATAGATCTCCTGTAATAATAATCTGAAGAAATCGTCCTCCTCTTTGCATTATGGGATGCAAAGAAGCCGCCACAACTCATGTGGATTTGCAACATTAAGTGTTGCTTAAATAAAACTGATATTAATCATCGAGATCTGAGAGGGTTGGCTGGGATATTTTAATGCCAATGGCTTGTCTCTTTACATTTTCTTAGACGAGATACCTCTGTGATGTCTGGGATGATGTATAAATTCAGCAGCTTTTTTCCCCGTTTCTGCACCAAACAGCGAGTCCAACCGCTTCTGATCTACAAATACATATTTAATAACCTGTCACCTAACATGAAAGTACTCTTAATTTAGCCTCGTGGAATCATTACACAACTTTTTAGGATTTAGGCCAAATTAAAAGTATTGGTCCTGAAACTAATAATTGACTGATATAATACTTCTTTACCAAAACATCAATCCACGAGACAGCTTTAAAAGTCTTAACGCGAGCTTCTCAGAACCTTTCAGAGCGGACTGATTCAATCACTCGAGAAACGCTGAACGCTCGTTTCATGAAACATCGGTAGGCTGTGTTTCCTCTGACGCGTCACTCGAGTCCTGGTTCAGGTGTCTGTTAGTCAGAGTAGAGGTCTGCTCCAGCAGCTGGACCAGGAACCTGTCCTCAGGCCTCTGTGCTGCAGACAGACTCTCAGACTGAACCAGGCCCAGGGACGGCGATGCCGCCTGGGCTACGGGGGCGGAAACAGTCCGCGGGACCTGGCAGGACGATTGTTCGGTGTTGATGGACGAGCGTGTGGTCAGAGAGGAGTCGTCTGCAGAGTTTGGTGAATCTGCGATCTGTGGTTTCATTTCATCGCTCCTCTGGTTTGGTGGTGACGGATGATACGCTGTGTGACTCTCGGGGGGCTGGTAAGGCGGAGGCCCGGTAAGCGGGGAGCCGTCGGGGGTCAGCGGAACCTGGCTGTGGATGATGATGGGGTCTGGGGAAGGCAGCGGGGCCTCCTCCTGGCCGGCAGCCTCGAGTTCCTGGGGGTCCTTGGAGGGGCTCTGGTCCGGGGAGATGGAGTCAGGGTGGTGTGAGATGATGTGGAGGCTCAGGCCAGCTCTGGGGAACCCGCTGGCGAGGACGGCTTCCCTCTGGAGGGACTCAACAGCACCGGCAGCTCCTGACCCAGAGGCTTACGAGGCAGCTCCTCTGGCTTCCCTGGAAACAACAACACATGCATGAATAATATTCACTGATCAAAGCAGGACATAAAAAGGCCTTATAGGTAACATCGGTATAAGTCCGTTGAGAGGACCGTGTGTCGTTGTGTACCT